GAACACGTCCTTAACAACAAGTGCGACCCTTTCGTCCTGGAACCCATGGTCACGAAGGTCACGAGTGATGATATGGTCAACAGTGATGTGATCCCCAAAGGCCTTTGACACAATGGTACTTGAGCCCCCCCTTTTGCGGGCTTGGGGAGCCAACATCTTTGCGCGCTGACATACCTCGCAGAACGGATTCTTGGGCCTGTGCGAGAACAAGTGCTCAACAGATTTGGCTTCAGCTTTCAGATCGGCCTCTGCAAGACTGCGGGCGTTTCCTTCGTTGTCACTGTCAGGTTCAACATCGGGGTCTTCGAAGATAGTGAGGCTCAGGATTGGATTACCCTCCAGTCGGGCAACTTTGTTGTCAAGCTCCCTGACGTTCACTTTATCCTCAACCTTGACCCAAGAACCTTCCCTGAACAACCAAGTAGATCTGACTTCGCATCTTGGAAACCTTGGTGTGGCAGTACGAAACGTCTTTGGTTTGTGTCCGACAATCAAGTACTTAGCATTTGGGTGCGAAACCCAACCTGGTCGTTTGAGCTTCTCTTTGGGGATATCTATCGGCGGCACCTCTTTGATGGCTGCGGAGATCTCAGGATCGGGGTGCTCGACCACTGGATCTCGTTCCTCTGCTGCTCCTGCGAAAGCCTCGGCCGGCCCTATTGGGCGGCAGTTTTCTGAAAACCCTCGGACAAAATTGGTCGTCCGAGAGAACCTGAGGCTTCCTCCTTAGTGCTTGGAGCGGCCATTGCTCCTCCCCCTAGCACTGGGACCATACCTCTCATTCTACACCTTAGTCTTTGACCATTGGGCGCAACAAAGTAAGGCGGCCTTTTGGGGTACCAGTGGAACTCATAACCGTCCTCCATGCACCTTCTGCCTACGGAGCAAACAGGAGGGGTGCTGTTGAGAACATAGAACTCTAGCTCTTTGCCAAACTCCGGGAAGTCGATCCTAACTGACTTGTCACCTTTGACGTTACCATTAGCAGTGATGAGATTCACTTGTCGTGTTGCATTGCCTACTGGCTCTTCGCCGAAGTACATAGCACGATCAGCTTCGCTGATAAGGTCCTCCTCGCTTCCTGTGTCAGCAAGGAATTCTAAGGGTGTGGCGATCCCTGGACAAGCGATCTCTGAGCTCTCAACGACGTGCTTGCACATCCCACACATGAGAGAATCAGGCTCATCACACTCTAAATGGCAATCGGTCTTCTCTCCCCCCTCATGCCGGGCAAGAAGCATCTTGAGTTCCCTTGCGTTCCTAATTGCAACCTGAAGGTCGATAGCGTCAGGCTTAGGGCAGTTTTCCGCATCAGCATAGCAAGTATTGTACCTGCGAACTTTGTAGGAATGTTTGTACCCCTTTCCCTCAAAAGGGATTTCCCTGACTTTAGGTTTGTCGCAAAACCTGACCTTCTTGTTTTGTTCTTTGATCTTGAAAACAGTCTTGCCGGTCCACGGCATCCTATCGCCGGTTCCCCCTCTTCCCTCTTTCCAGTCCCAGTTCTCCTTTGCAGTGTATGGAGAAATGGGAAGCGTCTTGATCACTTTGGCCTTACCCTTCAACCTTTCAAGAGCAACAGGACATGACACTTCGGGCTTGTACATAGTACTTCTGTACTTCAGATGGTGCCTAACAGCTTCACCCCTTTTGAAGTCTACTTCCCAGTAGTCTTCGTCCCCATCTTGTGGTTCACTCTCATCAGGACCAGCTGAGGCTGCAGCCGCAAGCGAGATGCAGCATGCGGCCTTCCTATCCTTTTCCTTAGAGCGTCCACGGCTTGGTTTCCTGCGCGTTGGCGCGGGTGACGGGGACCTTGGTTTGTCTGGGCCCTTAGGGGCCGGGGCTGCGTTTTGACCACCTGGGGGAGTAGGGCTCGGTTCCCTATGCAAGAAACGACACTTATCTCCCCTTGTGCACTTTCCCTTCTTCCAAAACGTGCAGACCTGTTTCTTCTTCGGGGCAGTGCGAACAGGGGATTGCGAACGGGGTTTGTGCGAAAACTTGCACTTGTCACCCCTGGTGCACTTACCCTTTTGAAAGTCGTAGCAAACTGGCTTTGGGCTTTGCGATCGGCTAGGTGATCTAGATCTGGATGGGGTCCTAGAGCGAGACCTTGATTTTGAATTGGACTGGCTACCGGCAGAGCGATCCCTTCCGCGGCCGCTCCTCGACGGAGGGCGTGTCGGCCTTCCGCCTTCAACAACAGGAGCACCAAACTTGTCCCCATGAGACTTGGCGATTCTATCCCTGTTCTTGCGCATCCTTTCACGGGTCAACAAATCCCGGATTGACTTCAACAAGAACGCATAGGAGTGTGAGGCAGAACCCTCTTTCGCCCTGTCGTAGATTTCCAAATCATACTTCATTCTTGAGGACTTTCGGATTTGCCGAAGAAGGATATCACGCAGAACCATTTCTTCTGGGACATGACTCATGCCAGCAATGACTGATTCCCAATTGTGCAGAAATGTGGTTAGATCGTCACTATGCAGTGTAACCTTCAAAAGGTCTTCTACCGAATAGAGCGATCCTACCTCTTCATTTGTTTTGAAGTACTGATCAAACATGAGCAAGACCTGGCGTCCTCGTACGGCACGTCCTTGAACCGCCTCGGTTTCCTTAAAAGTGAGTACCTGTCGAGATAACTCACCTTTGGCGACCTTAGTGAGAGCGGCTAGGATTTTGGTATCCAGCGTGAGAAACTTACCGGGCTCACGAAGCTTGTCATGATCAGCATTCTTAGAATACACCTCTAGAATCCAAGAGAAGGCTTCATCTGGTCTATCTGAAGCTGCCCTAACTGCTTCCCGTGTTGCGGTTTTCCATGCACGGTAGGTTTCGGGGTTAGGGAAATCCGGCAGGCGGATGGTTTCAGCTTCTTTAACCTTTGGTTTGTCATCTTCACCGCTTTTGTCTCCTTTAAGAAGCTTGGCGGCTTCAAGCAGCGCTTGCTGCGTCTGTGCGATTAAATCGGCTCCTGTGGCTGCCGGACCTCCCGGCGTGCCTGTGGGGGCCGCAAGACCAGGGGCTCCGGCGTTCAAACCACCACTAGAGAATCCTAGATTCGGGACGTTAGCTGATGCTGTCGAGGTCCCTGGGGCAGAAGCCGGACCCTGTGGTCCTGTTGGAGTGGCAGTAGTTGCCACACCGCCAAAACTGAAGTTTGGAAACAATGCCCTGATGTTTATCGGAATCACACTCGGATCTGAAAACTGAGGGGCACACGGAGCACTAAGCCCGGCGCTTGGCGCTGGAGCAACTGGGGCAGTGGCGCTGGGAAGCTGAGCTTGCTGCGAGGGATTGATACCTAAATTCCTGTCCTGTTCGAGCTGGAGCGCACGCTCCATTGATGATAATTCATCTTGGAGGGTCATGTTTTGAATCCTCATTTGCTCTTCAGTTTCCAGGGCTATACTGCGGTACCTTTTCATTGCCTCATCATGCTCTCTCCCAAACCATTCCCCAATCTCGTTAATGCTTTCCCTCTTGTTTTGTTCAGCCTCTTCAACCAGAGTTGTCCTGAGACGTGTGATTTGCGAACCAACATCGGAAAAATGTTCTGACTGAAAATTGATTATCTGGCTTTGTTGCTGGAGTTCTGAAAAGAGACCTTGGGTCCTCGCGACAAAGCTATACCTTTGGCTAGCAATTTCAGACTCAAGTCTAGCAACGACTTCCTCGTGCTGCCTGTTAGCCCTTTCTTCAACATCTGCGATTTGTTGATCATGGGCTTCTTCAGCAGCTAGGCGGAACCTCTGGTGCCTGGACTCTGCTTCGTTCTCTAACTCAGTGAGGAGAAGTCTTGTTTGTTCAGGTGTTTCACCTATCGTGATGTTCTGCTGAAACTGTTGTCGGTACATGTGGATCTGCGGAGCTCCTAGTCCTACGAAAGGAGAAGGTGCGTTTGGCGCAAACACATTAGCTGCTGCTGCATTCTCTTCCAGCACTAGGCCACGGCCATCCGTAGACGGTGGCATAGCCAAAGTGCCTGAGAGGTCCATCTCCGCGGATTCTGCGTCTGTAAATCCGTCTGTACCGAGATCAGTTGCTACCTCGGTGGGGACCAGCTCGGGGCTGTCACCCATGCACTGAGTTGAAACTCCAGGTCAGTGGTGCCGCAAGCTCCGGGCAGCCTACGGCTGATAACCTATAGTTTGGGAAATCCACCAGTTGTTATCCGTTAAGCCATGAGCAGGGGCGCGCCTAACCTTTTTACTCAGAGGGCTTGAGCGGCACAAGTAAGTGCAACATACATGGAAGCAAAAGTGGAGGGAATGCACTGATATAAAATACACGGGTTTAGGCTTTAGGGTTTTAAGGTTTTCGGGTTTAGGGTTGAGGGTTTTAAGGTTTTAGGCTTTGGGGTTTTAAGGTTTCAGGGTTTTCAGATTTCAGGGTTTTGGGTTGAGGCTTGAGGGTTGGTAGCTACAAGGCAAAGGCCCAGATCAGAACACGCGGGAGCCAAGCGAATAACAGCAGCAAAAAAAAATCGCAGAAACGGCGCCTCGTCTCCTCCCTAGCCTACCTCAAGGCCCCAAAGTGCCCCCGCAGCCCCTACGCCCTGCCTTCATACCCTAAACCATGCATTGCTGGGCTATGGCCCATTGCTGTGGGGGGGGGTCCTGGTGAAACTCGCAGCAGGAAACAACTTATAACAACTTGACTCGGCGTAGACCACATCGAGACAAGTCTACCACTCACCCCGAAGCCCTAAACACAAGCCCTAAACCCCAAACCCCAAACCCCAAACCCTAAACCCTAAACCCTAAACCCTAAACCCTAAACCCTAACCGGCGATGTCACTTAAAGGGTTGAAGAGTTTCATGCTGTCCGGAATGCGCGTTCGGAAGTTTCGGGCTTGAAGGTTTCCTTCGCGTTTGGGGCTAGGGTTTAGGATTTAGGGTTTAGGGTTAGGTTTGGGGTTTAGGGTTTGGGGTTTGGGGTTTAGGGTTTAGGGTTTAGGGCTTAGTCATTAAAGAGCGACTTCCCGAAGTCTCCTGGAGTCGCTGCGTCCATCGTGACCAGCGTCTTGGGAGGCAAAAGAAGGGGTGCTGGGGTTGCTTAAGGGCCTCCATAAAAAGGGGCCTCCTACACAGGGTTTAGGGTTTGGGTTTTAGGGTTGTTTAGTTATAGGGTTCTTACGGGTGGGGGGTTCAAGGGGGGGTTTGCAACCCAAGGTTCCCTAATACTCCCTACTACTCCATTAAGAACCCTGTTGTTTAGGGCCGCCTTGTTTAAGGGGCTGTGGGCGGATGAAATTTCGTCGCTTGGAATACTAGTCTGATTGTTTTTCCTATTATTCTGTTTGTGTGTTTTTTGATATTGTTACAAAAAAATCTGGTGGAAACCTTCGAGGTCTAACAGGGGCGGATGAGTTTTGGGGGGGCTCTAAAGGCAGGAAGCTTTCCGTGAGCCAGGGTAGGTTCCCCAAATAACGGTGCCTATTCCAATATGGGCCGTCACATTGGCCCAGAATTTGCATGCAACCAGTGCTGCAAATCTGAACCAGAAACCAAAACCCCGCAACCCTAAGCCCTAAACGCCAAAGATCATACATGCCAAAACCTAAACCCTGCTAAGCCTTTGAACTTTAATCCTCCACGCAATCCCGAACAGCCTCGCTTTCAAAGACCTTAGAGAGCTCTGACCCCTGAGCCCGCACGCGCCTGACCAGTTCCAGACGCTTGACCACCAGCCTTTCCAGGTTCTGATGCGAACCCTCAACCCGAAACCCTACACCCTAAACGCTATATACCCTAAACCCTAAACCCTAAACCCTAACCCTAAACCCTAAACCCTAAACCCTTTATCAGGGTAATTCGTAGTCTTAGTAGGGCTTCAGAAACATCCAACCATGCACTGCGGATGGCTACTTAAGGTGTTCCAACGGCACTTTGCATCATGCTGCTGGTGTGCTTTCAACAGGGTTTAGGGTTTAGGGTTTAGGGTGTAGGGTGTAGGGTGCAGGGGCTTAGGGTGTAGGGTGTAGGGGCTTAGGGTGTAGGGTGTAGGGACGTCTACTCATGCGTCCGGACTAGGCGGATGAATACGCATTCGATGTTGCTGCCAGACGTTCAGACTCCGAACGCTTTTTGCAGGGAACTGAAGCTTTATGACAGGCAGAGCTTTTCTCGAAACGAGCCGTCTATGGGGGGCATAGGGATACGAATCTATTTTCTCGAGATCCGGCAGGAGATCATCATGAACCCACCAGTTTCCTTGTGGGGAGGCATATTGGTTTTGCTGTAGGCTTGGCCATTGACATCGCGACCTCCCGAAGTGAAAAAACGAGAGAAGCTGGAGAAGAACATTTATGAGCCCCTTCACAGAGAATGGGTTTTTGAGCAGTTTGTGTCGCAACTAACCAGGCGGAATTAAGAAGGTATCATATTGGTATTTATATACTCCGGCAAACACAGTCTTCGCACTCCTTTTTTCGATTGCGCGGTGCGTTTGCTTCACGGAGATTGAATCAGCTGTCGACATGACATGTTTAGGCTGTAGGGTTTGGGTTCTTTGGGGTTTGAAGGGTTATGAGACTATAGCAGCCCGATGATTCAAGACATGCCTTCGGCGGTCACGACGTACTGCGTACAGTACGTTCCGACGGCTTGCGGCATCCGTGGCCCAAGGGCAGTGCTGAAAAGGAGGTACATGATGCATCTCCCTCCTTGGCACTGCACGGCTGCGAGCTGGCAGGAGTTCTGACCAGCAGGCAGTGGTGAATTGTCCCGAACATGGACAGTGAGGCTTAGATGCGCTGGGAACCAGAGCTCCTTCAGAAGGATGCAGAAGTCATGTTCGGGGCACCCAGTGGTTGATAGTCATTTCGCAACCATTGCGTCGTGCAATTGCATGGGTGCAGCGTTACAACTCGCCTGTCTGACGATGACATGCCATGTGCCCATGAGCACCGAAATTGCACGACCGACTTGTGTCAGCAGCTGAATTAATTACCTCCCTGCTTCTCAGTGCAGAAACCCTAAACCCTAAACCGAAACCTAAACCGAAACCTAATCCCTAAACCCTATAAACCCTAAACCCTAAACCCTAAACTTTAAACCCTAAACTTATCATTCTCTGGGTCCCTCTCTTAGGGTGTGGGGATTAACACACCCCACTCTGAACTCAGGACCAGGGAGGATCCGGACTGGCCGCCCTCAGGAAATATAGACCTGTCTATTTAGCACATGACCCTAAACCCTAAACCCTAAACCCTAAACCCTAAGGCTCCGGATGTGCACAAGACCCCGCAGCCAGCCCAGCGCGCGCTCTTCGTGCACGCAGCGGCAGAGCAACCAAAAATCACAAGCACTGCCGACGCACGAGGTTCTGACACATTTCTAACCGTGGTACACACAAGCCTTGTCAACCCCATCAACCCTATCAACCCTATCAACCCTTATCAACCCTATCAACCCCACACCCTAAACCCTAAACCCTACCAATCCTAAACCCTAAAACCCTAAACCTCCAGAAAACACCGTGCGACTGCTGGCTACTTTACGTGGACAGATTGGAAGCCACATTCTCTCCAGGTACCTCAAGCATGAAAACTGCACCCTTTGTTCTTTCCATGTACTAGTGGTAGTACTACTAGTAACCTGATTGCCATTACTACTGCTAGCATTACAATTTTACTACTATTCTTGTCGGAGGCTCAGGCTTTACCGTTCTGACGTAGGCCTCCGCAGCACAACTGGCACATCTCACCATCCCGATTGATGGCTGCGAGCTGCAGCCGGCTGATGTCGTTCATGGTTGGGGATAATATTCAAATGTATGTTTTGTATTCCTTATTGGGTTTACGTACCCTAGACATGTAAAATGTTACCCAACTATGACAAAGATATGTTTGGGACATTCTACTGGGATCGTACCACAATCGAAGAAGACTCAACAGATCATCAGCTGGCTAAGATATATACATTGTAAACTTGCAGACTAGAGCTATGCTGGTTGTACACATGTGTGCCAGTGACTATACGTAGCATAATTCGAACCTCAACTCTGAATTCTATGTACCTATATGTATATGTATACCCTAAACCCTCCCTAAACCCTAAACCCTAAACCCTAAACCCTAAACCGTAAATCCATATTTGTGTGCTGGAAGTGATACCTAGAAGGGCTACCAAGGCCTGTAGGACTCGAGCGCCCCAGGTCCCGGATGAATCCTGCAAGGAGGTCAGCCTTGCATGTTGCAGCGCAAAAGCTATTCCTAGGGGGTTTGTAGGGTTTAGGGTTTAGGGTTTAGGGTTTAGGGTTTAGGGTTTAGGATTTAGGGTTTAGGGTTTAGGGTTTAGGTCATGTGATCCCTGACGTAAAGTGCCCCTCCAGATCGATACCGGGCCCTCGAGCACCCCGACTTGGAGCAGAGCTGAGTAAGGAGGCGTCAGCAACTCTCCTCAGAACACTTGCTCGATATGGGCGTCGAAGTCATCTCAGCATGGGCTGAAGTGGGCATCTCCCCCAGCTAGAAACCCTCCTACCCCAAAATACCATAGCCCTTGTTATAGGCACGGCAAAAAAAGTGTATCGCTATTTTTTCGGCAACCCCCAAAGTATCATAGGCTGAGATCGGGAATTTGACACAGGAGTTTGTCGCAGGGGAGAGGGGCTCGACATCTCTGAGCGTTTCTGATTCTTATGACTTGAGTATTGCTCTCCTAGTGACGCTGTTGAGTGTCTGGAAATTGTGCTATTTTTGGGGAATCTGACTGACTTCATTGTCGATTGCATAGGAACCCAGGAGCTGCTTTCACACTCTATGTGGAGCTTAGCTGGGGAATGATCAGAACTCACCTGGGACTTTCCCAACAAGCTTCGTATCCTTCTTGTAGGAACTCCTCAACATAGTGCCTCATGTTTCGATCTGTGCTTTTTTTGTTTTGTTTGGGGGAGGGGGGGGGCTCCTCTCAACCCTAAATTACTAAGCCCTTGAACCCTAAAACCTCCAAACCGGAAACTGTCTAACTCTAAACCCCCCAAACCCCAAAACCCTTAAACCCTAAACACCCGAAGCCCCAAACCCAAACCCCAAACCCTAACCCCCACCCCCCCCCCCCCCCCCCCCAAAAAGAAAAAAAAAAACTAAACCCCCCCCCCCCCCCCAACAAAAAAAGAGGACACAACAACACCTGCAGGCAGAGAAGCCCTGAGTCGATTTGTCAAGACCTGTAGGCTGGAGCTCCACGTGGTGCGCTCCTGCGGCTGGGTTTGGGGTTTAGGGTTTAGGGTTTAGGGTTTAGGGTTTTAGGGTTAGGGTTTAGGGTTTAGGGTTTAGGGTTTAGGGTCTAGGTTTAGGGTTTAGGGTCTTTTAGGGTTTAGGTTTTTGTTTAACAACCCTGTGCACCTTTCTAGGGTTTAGGGTTGAGGGTTGAGGGTGTAGGGGTTTAGGGTTTCGGGTTTCTTACATACAGGGGCGCTTGTTGCTTCAGGGGGGGGGGGGGTAGGGTGAAGGGTTGAGGTTAGGGTTGCTTTGTAATAGGGTTTAGGCTTTGGCGTTGTAGGCTTAGGACTTTAGCGTTTTGGAGTGTAGGGTCGGGGAGAAGGGCAGGGTCTTGGGGAGAAGCTTAGGGTTGGGGGGAAGTTTCAGGCTTTTTCAGGCTTAGGGAACCCGAAGGCCTAGGTGTGGCTTTGGGATGTAGGGGTGACTTTGGGGAGCTCGGATCTAACAAGTCCAGGATACTAAAGTTTAGGGTTTAGGGTTTAGGGTTTAGGGTTTAGGGTTTAGGGTTTAGGGTTTAGGGTTTAGGGTCTACGGAAGAACGGGGTGCTCTAAAACAGCCATGACCAACGACTAGGGGGTTTTCAACCATCTTCCACGAACCTGGCACGCGCTTCGGAAAGTGCAGGCGCGTTGCGAAGCAACGGAACAAGAAAGTCACTCAACGACCACTGCGCAGCTCTATCCTAAAGCCACGCAGTTCTATAATCCCGAAACATCCGAGAACCTTGTACTTTGATCCGGGGAACACAGCTTTGAAGTATACCTGATATTATCCCGACCCTTACCCCTCAACACCCTCAGACACCCCAACCAAAAAGATCAGCACAACAACAACCCCGAAGACCCTGAACTCTGCCTAGCCACCCTAAACCCTAAACCCTAAACCCTAAACCCTAAACCCTAAACCCTAAACCCTAAACCCTAAACCCTAAACCCTAAACCCTAAACCCTAAACAAAATCGTCCACCTGCTCCGGGGATGCCGAGATGGCGTAGCGGGACTCGGGCTGGCGGGTGCCTCACTCGGAGAGTTTGGGAGGCTTAGGATGTTGAGAGCTTCTCCGGCGTCCCTAAACCCCCGGTTTAGGGTTTAGGGTTTAGGGTTTAGGGTTTAGGGTTTAGGGGTTAGGGTTCCCCCCTAAACCCCCCCCAAGACACCCCCTAAACCACCCCAAAACCCACTAAATCCCCCCGCCCCCCAAACCGGCCCCTACAGCCTAGACCATGGGGCTGGGTGTCTTGAGGCCATGCAGTGAGCAGGCCCCGAAGCCCTGGGAGTCGGGGGAGGAGGTGCTGAAAAAGAAACCTTGCTTAGTTTGTATTGTTGCATAAACCCTATAAACCCTGTAAACCCTATAAACCCTGTAAACTCTATAAACCCTATAAACCCTGTAAACCCCAGAAACCCTAATAAACCCTAAAGCTTCCCTAAACCCTATAAACCCTGTAAACCCTGTCAACCCTA